TTAGAAGGAAATCCTTAATTAAGAAAATCCTATTTTGTGGGTTATTTAACCCTAGTTGTATTTTGTTGGTGAGTTTAGTAAATTTGGCGTTGCGGTTGGTGGTGCCCGGAGACGTAGGGTATTTTCGCCGAACTTCGTTATCAATTTTTGTGTTCTTTTTATTTCTCGTCTTTTATTTGTGTTGGCTTATTTTGGAGTAGTGTTTGCCATATTTGTTGGAGGGGTATTTTTGTCCGCTGCGCTTGTTGTGATACCCCAACAACGAGCACTCGAAGAAGAGGTGGCTCGAAGATTCGTTGGCTACCCCGCATAGAGGGCATATCGGGTTTTCATCAAGGAATTCAAGACGGTCTTATAGTCTGGAGTCGATTAAGCACGCCGAGCCATAGAATGAATGAGTGCCTAGGGGTATTGCAACCCCCCCAAACAACACCACTCCATGGCCTCATGGGTCCTCTAGGTCGTAGGAAGTCGTAGCATTTACTAGACCCATCTTGTCTATCTCGGGAGTTCCAACCTCGAAGAAGGGCTTCCGCTTCTCGTTCACTTCCCGCTCTCTCAATCAAGCTTTGTCGGATGTCTATGAGGGACTTGAAGAGAGTATTCTTAATTTTTATCACCGTGTGACAACCTCGTAATTGTATAGCTATAGTCTTTAACTCTTTACTATTCTTCTCTCAGTGCGTTATTTTGAATTGAAATGTTCTCTATACATTTTTTTATGAAGACTGACCGCGATCGCGTATCTGAATAAATACGACCGACTCTGGGTTTAGTTTATTTATTTCATATTATTATTAGTACTCTTTTGGTTTTATTTCCTTTATTTGCTTTATTAATTATGGTAGGAAAATAAAGGGCTTGCAGTGTTTTGGCAAGAGTAGGATTCTTATTTTATTTCCCTTTGGTATTTATGCTGTATGGAACGAAGAAAACAACTGATTATTGATGAATTGAATTTGCTGATAGTTCGTTCTTGAGAGAGTATCTCATTTTGTCCCCAATTGTACTACGCTCTACATCAGTTGATATCAGAACCGATTCGAAAGAAGACGAGACCGGTTCGGATTCGACGCCGAATCCTCCTCAACCGGGGGAGGATGATGAAGACGAGACCGCGAATGCGTATCTGAATAAATACGACCGACTCCGGGTTTAGTTTATTTATTTCATATTATTATTAGTACTCTTTTAGTTTTATTTTCTTTATTTGTTTTATTAATTATGGTAGGAAAAAAAAGGGTTTGCAGTGTTTTGGCAAGAGTAAGATTCTTATTTTATTTCTCTTTGGTATTTATGTTGTATGGAACGAAGAAAACAACAGATTATTGATGAATTGAATTTTCTGATTGTTCGTTCTTGAGAGAGTATCTCATTTTATCCCCAATTGTACTACGCTCTATATCAATTTTCCTGCAGATTCTGGTTTTCTGTAAAAATTTGCTCCTCGGGCCCCCGAATCCAAGCCCGATTTATACTGTACCGTTGTTTCCAGCCCGAGTTTGTCCATCGGGCCCCCAAATCCAAGCCCATAATACTATTACCCTGCTGTTTATGATCCATACACTTTACAAGTGAATGTGATTAGCTGAACTTCCAAACCTTCCTCGAAAAGCAAATAATGAAATAAATAAAAAAATTATATAAAAGAACCAAAATCAATAAATATAAAAACTTGGGTACAATGGTTGGTTATACACTTAATTTACAATCGTTTTTTTTCCTAACTTAATAAAAAAAAATTTGTTCACACCAATTAGCCATCAATAAAGCGCCTAAGTCTGTTCCTAGCTGCTTCTATTTCGTGATCAACATCCGATTTATCGGCCCCCAACTTGGGGTCCGAAACAAGAACATCTTCCGGTCGGATGAAGTGCCTTTGGTTTTGTAGCTCGACTTTAATGGCCTCCGATTTGGAGGTTTGGTTGCGATAAGCCCGCTTCTCGGGTTTGCTCCGCCTGAAAAACCCGAATGATCTTCGTGGTGGTGATGCCACTCGCTCTCCTCCTTCATATTCTTGATTCAAAATAATCAGCTGCTCAAAACAATATGTAATTCAAATGAGAATCTGATGAAAAACATGCATATCTAATTCTTA